GTGCTTTTTGTGCTGAGGTGTTTTTTCTGTTATCAAACTGATCTCCCACTAGGAGCTCAGTCTGAGTGGAGTTTTTTTTTCTCCTCCTCTTACCTCATTTTATGTATTTTCGTTGTTTTTTTTCCTATCAGCCTACCTTTCTGACATGTCTCCCCAATGTGATGTTTGTGTAAAGTTGGTCAGAAGGTTCCTTTGTAAGTGCGCTTGCGCCATTAGCGTGCTGCCTGCTGTAACCCTAATTTCCTTCGGGAAATAATAATAATAAAGTATTCTGATTCTGATTCTGATGAGCTAGAAGCATAGTTTGATGGGTAAAAGGGGCATAATATTTACCTGAATACACTGCAATGGTTGCACAGCAGTCAGTGGTTTCCCAGCTTTTTGACACTGGTCACATTCCAGAATCTTTAAGGTAAAAATATTCATGGAGTTCACATAAATGTTCAACATTCTCATTTATAAAAAAAAAAAAAAAAATCACTTAATGACATATTCTCTAACGAACAAACAATTTAGCAACAATGCTTTGTGTGTGTCTTCAAATCTCTGCCAGGTATACAGGTTATTACTGTAATATCACTAATTAACCATATTTATTTATATTTTGCAAGTGTACAGTTTCTCTTTTAACTGATGTAAAAAAAACACTTTGCTTATTTTAAACACTATTTAACAACAATATAAACAGTTAATACATACCCATGTTTTAATGTCAACTGTCATACCAAACCAGTAAAATCTGGAACACACTGCATTTAGCGTTTGCTAGCGTTTAGCCAGTGTGTCCTCCAATTGGAGATGAATGAAACTGATGAAATATCTTCCTGGCATCATCCATGGTTTTTACTACTCTTCTGGTTCCAACAAAGAGTTATCCATCTACAGTAAAAAAATATATATTTAGAAATGAATTTAACCACATATGAGTTGTTAGTATTAACAATAAATTACTGACCCTTTTGTTTAAATTTTGAGGCATATCTTCTGAGGTTTTGCCTCTGAGCCTTGTCATATTCTGAAGGGTAGGAGCCTGCAGAAATGAACGTGTAAATCTCTTCCCACTTTTCTTCTCCATATCTACAAATATAAGTAAACATTTTGTTCTGTGCTTCAATATGTGCAGTTAACAATGCAAATAATTTAACTTATTAAATAACAACATTACCGAAACAGCCTTAAAACACCGAAGCTGCGCATTCGACAATGTTGTGCAAATACCACGTGTCCAGTAACTTGACAGCAGACGTCATCGAAGCTGAAAATTCGACAGTTTTGTGCAGAAAGCAGATAGTGACTTCACTTTAACCCTTTAAGACCTACCATAGAACCAAGTCCGCCAGAGCTTATATTATATTTTTACATGCTGTAGTGCCATTTTTGGGAGCAT